TCTTCTCTGTGTTGCTAACACATCAGCCTGGACACATTTAGGCACTCTTCAGTCTGAAAGGCTCAGAACCTCCTTCAAGAGGGTGAGACACAGGATAGGAATGTTCCCCAGACCTCTGTATTTGCCGTGAGACCATGGACAATTATCAGGCGTAGGTCGTTGCTTATGCAATTCAAGAAAGAAGCTCAAATATGCTCCTGCTGAGCTAAGTAGCACACTGGGGACAGATGCACAGTGAATAAGACAAGACACACATGATCCTTTACAAATGCATGGACCACAGAGAACTTTGAAATAGTTAATTCTTGGTATTTTTTAATTTACCTTTTTATGTTCCTAGTGGTATCAGCTGCTTCCCTATCAGTCCTGTCAATTCTGTGGGATAACACAGATGTCCATATGGCTGTGTATCTGTGGGCTTGGGAGCGTGATTAATGCCCCTTATAAGGTTCCCAAGTTGGGACTCTCTCTGAGGCCCTGTCAGCCAGGCCCTGATTGCTGGATGTTGGCTTCTTGAGCGTGGCCTGTGTCACCACTTCCCATTCCCCTTGCCTGCCTACCCTGGCAGGCTGCCCAGGAAGCTACTCATCCCAGTCAGGGCCATGCAACTGAGAGGGTGAGAATGAAAGCCCCTTGGGAAAGGGAGGCCTGGACCGGAGGGCAGATAAGAAGGTGGTTTCACAGGGGTGACTGAAGGTTCTGACAGGACAGCGGAGCACATAGTGTTCAAGAAGCTGAAGGCAGCATGGCCGTATGGGTTGGCCGGGGTAGGGTGGGTGTGGGAGGCAGGGCGGGCAGTGGGGCCCCAGGGAGCAGGGAGGCCTATAAGTAGGACTCAGAGCCTTAGCATGCTGTGGTGGGCCGCAGTACCCAGTGGGACAACCAGCCAGAGCTAAGGTCTCAAACCTGGGGGCCCACATACAGGGTGAACAGGACAGGCTGGCCTGCATGTGCCCGAGGGTCTTTCCTGTTTTGGTCCCGAGGGGGGATGAAAGCTGGAGGCAGAGGCCCACGGCTGGATGGGACCGACAGGCTCTACCCTTTCTCCAGGTCATGACATGGGGCTGCAGCCGTGAGGTCCACCCTGTAGGGGGTAGGGAAAGGCTGTGTGCAGCTTTGAGGCGATGGACCACCAGGATGACAAAGGCTGGAGGGACCAGTTGAGGGCCATGAAGGAGGGGATGGCTTTGGATACACCATAGGTGGGCTGGGCTGCAGGCGCCTTTACCTTGGCCCCCTAGGGAGGCTTCTGGGCATAGAGGGACACCAGGGTCGGGAGCACGCTGAACTGTGGCGCGGGGAAGCACTGCCACCGGGGGAGAATATTCGTAACCAATTGTCCCTGTTTGCCTGGACAGTCTTGCTGTTAAGCATCAAATCTTCTGAGTCTGGCCATGCAGTCAGTCTGGGTACAGCTGGATTCTCTCACTGTTGAAAGGAGAGCAGCTGCAGCGAGGTGACGGAGCAGGAAGGAACCTTCGGGAGCCTGTCCAGGTGAATTGCTCTGATGGTGCTCAGGCCAACAGTGGGACGAAGTGTCCCACAGGGCCAGATCCCCAGTGCCTGAGGAAGAGAAGGAATGATGGAGGCAGTTGGAAACAGCCACCGGTGGTTGTTCCACTAGCAAGTAACACACGGGAAAAGCCTCCACCCACGTGATGTTTTGGTCTCTTTGAAGCTCCTGAATCCAATGAATCCCAGGGCGGTGCTATCTGGCTTCCCTTAGGAAGGGAAGGTCATGAGCTTCCCAGGAAAGCTGTGAGGTGGGGGCCGCTCCCACACACCAGATCACTGACGGCCGTCCCGCTGCACCCTGTCCCGTCCATGCCCATCTGTGCTACTATCTGCCCTGGTGCAGGGAGAACCTGTCCACCAACAACATGCGGAGGCGCTGGTGCCGGCCTCGCCTCCCCCCACCCCAGGGCAAGCCCAGGGCAGGCAGCCTGGCTGGCTCTGTTGGAACTGGTGTCACGACCAGAACAGTCATCCCCACTCCGGCCTTTAGCCGGCGTCTCTCACCCTGCTCCACCCGTGCCGATGGCCTCCTCTGGCCCATGGAGACGGCTTCAGCTCTTCCTGGTCCTCCCTCCCTCCTCCCTGTTTCCTCCCTCTACCTCAGAAACATTCTCCTGCTCACGAAAGAGCCGCTCCTCTCTTTCTCGTTGCTCTGTGGCTTTCTGGAAGGGAAGACCACCTGCTCTCCAGACAAACAGCAAGTCAAGCCAGTTCGGTGTGGGTCCGCCTGTATCCTGCACCTGGGAGGCGAGACGGGCAGATTGCTCGAGGTCGGGTTCGAACAGCCTGCAAGAGCGAAGCCCTTCATTACTATAAATAGAAAGATTCATTGGCCAAGTATATATCAGTAACAATTAGCTGGGCATGGTGCACGTGCCTTGTAGTCCAGCTACTCGGAGGCTGAG